TTTTTTTTATAAAAAAAAAAAAATTCCTGAGCTGAGTAGGCACAGGAATTTCAGCCCAGCCTAGGCACCTTAGTGATATAATAAGACCTTGTCTCAATAAAAGTAAAAAATGAGCTGGGGATGAGGCTCAGTGTGAAGGCCCTGGGTTCAATCCCTAGTACCACAAAACAACACAACAAAATCTCTAAATCAGAGTTGTCGTGGTCTTCCATGAACCTAACATCCAGATGGTTCTCCCAGGGCCCACTGGTACTCAAGACCCCTCACCTCTCTGACTTTAAACACCCTGCCCTGATATCCCAGTGTAGCACCCACTTTGGGGGCTTTGAGCTCTGTCCATTTCCGTCCCCAGATCTTCCCATGGCAAGTAGTCTTAAGACACCATGCTCTGTGACGAGAACATTAACACATGTGCCAAGTCTCTGGATGGTGGCTGCAGGCGTTGGGTCCAGGCTGGCATCTCTGGAATTTCTTTCCTATTTTATGGGGTCAGAGGAGGAGGAGCAGGACTGGGAATGCATGGTGCAATGATGCTGGGCCTTCTTCAGGGTGGCAATGCCCTCCCTGCACCTCACTCCTCCCCTCTGACTTTCCCTAATTCTACTTAGCCAGACCCAGGTCCACATACACACCCGGGTAAGGGCAGCCAGAAAGGGAACATTAGGCATCAATGACACCCACAAGGCTGGTCACTATCTGAGAGCTTTTGTCAGGGATCCAGCTACGCTGCCCGCCTCTGGATTATGAGATTTTATTTTGTAGTGCTGGGGATTGAACCCAAGGTTTTATTATGCATGCTAGTCAAGTGCTGTACCATTGAGTCACATTCTTTGCCCTTTTTCAAAAAAGTATATTTGGTACAGGGTCTCACTGCATAGCTGAGACACGAAGTGATCCTCCATTGTTCAGCCTCCTCAGCACTGGGATTACAGGTGTGCGCCCAGGGGCCGGGCCACTACAGCATGTGGTGCCTGGGATAGAACCCCAGTCCCTTTCTTTTTGAATTGTTGAGACAAGGTCTCACTGAGTTGTCCAGTCTGGCCTTCAACCTGTGATCCTTCTGCCTTCACCCTCTCCCCTTTTACAATTTTTTGAGACAGGGTTTCAATATGTAGTTCTGACAGAGGAGATTAGAGCATTGCCAAGCAGGCTAGGGAAGCTGTGTGACCTGTCAGCAAGACCCCACACTCCTTCACAGGGCAGTTCCCAAAGCCCTGCGGCAGATTTCTGGCAACAATTCAGCAGGGTTTCTTTCTTTTTTGGCGGACAGATATTGAACTCAGGTCCTTGCGCTTGCCAGGCAAGTGCTTATTCTACTGAGCCATCTCCCCGGCCCCCCAGCAGGGTTTCAGTGGGACGCCCTGCACCTGAGGGCAGCCTGAGCGTGGGTTCCCAGCACCCCCTCTCAGGACTGCAATTTAGACGTTCTCTTGAGTTTCAGTGAGATTTGGAAAGTGCGAAAGGACACGTGTCCTGAAGAGCTCGCTGTGGTGGCTGTCCTGACTGCAGCCCACCCTGCTTGCTTTTAGCCTGCTTTTTCCTCTTTTACTCAGCCCAGGCTTACTGCACAGGGCGGGCTTCTCCCTCATTCTTCACTTTTATTAGTTTTT